GTAAGTTTTACAGTTGTATAGGTACTATCTCCAGTTTTTTTAATATACTTAGTGTCGACCTAGTCGTTCTGTGTTTCTAGAATACCCTTCTGGTTTGGATGCCGAATATAATAGAGGAGTCCACTTAGCAGAGAAGTTTGACCTCTACAAAAACCATACAAAGTAGTCCACTCCTCGGTTTTACACTCTTGGTACTTCATCGACAACACACCTACTTATGTAGGACCAAATATATTATCACCCTTTGATGTCTTCTATAATGCTGATCGTAGTTCAGATTTTTGGAATTGTTGACCAGAGAATCGTCGGGAAGAGTTGTGAACTTTGATCCGCATATAATAAAATAAAAAATAAAAATAAAAAAAATAAAAAAAAATAAAATTAATAATAATAATAAGACAAGTACTGTTATTAATTACATGATGGATAATAACTAATCATTCATCAAGATACTACATATACTCAGATAGCAAAGAACTATATTTACTAGTAGTGCTAATAAAGTTATAAAATTCATAATGCAATGACCTGCACTACTAGTAATAATATAGAATGCATTGTAATAAATCAGGTATTAACTATAAATAATAACATAATTGTCTGAGATGTATAACTTAATAAAACAACTCTTAGTATAAGTTACTCAGTTAGCTTCGAATAAAAATATGGAATGCTTCATTCATCTTCTAAGACGGATCTATACATACTATACTAGAAGGACTAATAACTTACATTTTAAATAAATAAATAATAATAATAATAAATTTAAAAAATAATATAATACTTACCTATCAAGATATTTTAAAACTTCACTTTCGTTGGAACTTAATGAAGCCAGCTTCTTATAGATAGTTATCGCAGCATTTAATGCCTCACATTCTCTCAAATGAATGAACTTGTCTATTGTCTTTATAACTTCATCGAATGAAACATCACTAAAATATTTTTTAAATTTTTTTTAAAATTATTCATTATATGCCAGGTGCATAAAAGGTGTTCAGATTTAGAAAATACTTTTTTAAGAGCACCAATAAGCGAAGAGTCGTTGTTTATAACAAATACTGAAAGAAAGATGTCAGAAAAAATGAATAAATTAAGCTGTTCAATAATCCAAGCATATGATTTTTCAGATTTGTCTGAAATCCAGGCACTAGTGATACCAAAGTATGCAAACGATTGATCCCAAGATTACTATTGCTAACAAAGTTTACAAATAGCAACTTGTAAACGTTGGTTTTATATGTTGCGTTGATTAAAACAACTTCAGAAAAACATCTAGCATTTTTAATAGATTCCATATGACAAAAAAATAAATGCTTAATTCGTCCGTCTATATTAATAATACTATTATTAGTTCACTAAAATAATAATAAATAAAATAAAAATATAAAATACCTCTCTTTATAAGTTTCACAGCGCACAGTATACCCTTTTTCCTCTATACCTGTTATTAATGCTGCCATTAATGCTGTTTCTTCTAAAGAATTGATCTGTATACTTAAGTTGGATATATCTTTTCTTGTTGCAGTTGGAGTTCTGTCTTCACTTCTAACAACCTCATAGATCATGCTAGGCTTTGCATCTGCTTTTAACATTTTTACTGCAATATGTCTTACTTCTTATGTTAGTTGACGGTGTTCATAAAAAACTTGCACGTCCTTCACCATTGGATGATTATATTCATTTTTAGTTTCTATAACACACCACTTAGAATCATTTGGAATTGCTTTGATTAAATAGGAATATCCACAGAGTTTACTCATCTTTTTTCTTTTCCGTTTATCTATTGTTAGATTCCAACAATTCTTAGGCTGATTATCATGTTTACATTGGATGTGAAGATGACGAAAACTACTACTTTTAGTTGAAACAGCAAATTCCAAATTTTTGGTATTTTTTTGAGCAACATTAAGAATATTCTTCTTTGTATCATAATTTTGGCTAACAATTATTATAGCTTGTAAAAAAAAAAGAAAATATTAATAATAGCAATTACAAGTTATACCGTATTAAGATATTACAACCCTTAACTTATATTGATCTGCCCAACCTTCACTTTTTGTATCATCTTTTTCTTTCTCTAAGCTAATTCGGTCTTCCTTCAATTCATACTTGTCAGTATTACTTGAAGCTGAAATATTAAATAAGTTAACACTGTAATACGAAGAATTATTTGGGCTATTTAAATTTGTATGGTTATTCATAGAGTTGCTGGTGAAACTAAATTGTGCTGGTGAAACTGGTGACTATCTAAAATCTGATTGGCTATTGAATGCAATGGCCAATCAGATTTTAGATAGTCACCAGTTTCACTAAGTTTCACCAAGTTTCACCAGTTTCACCAGCAACTCTAGTTATTCATATTCATTATTCAAAGAAAAGATATACTGGTATTATAATATGCAAAAGCTTTAGATATTCAATCTACAAATTTCACATAGACAATCAATTTATATGCGTAGACAATCAATTTACATGACATGTGATGATAGATCTACACAATGCTGATTGGCTTAAAATCACGTTAAAATTATGTGAGCTCTTATTGGTCAATTTTGTTGTGCTGATAAGACAATAGTCACATGAAATGTTGTGCCTGTAGCTTTCCCCTATTTAATTAGCCTGATATCACGTGTTAGCTAGCCGGGCAGCTAAGCTGACTACGGCTATAGTCAGTTAGCTAGCCGACTGCAAGCTGACCGAACCCATCCCTAATCATAATTATAACATTTACACTGAAAATATAATATAGACGTGGAAATTTGGGTGTATACACTGTAAAAATAATATACATACTGAAAAGTCATAAGGCACAGTCTTTGTATAATCACATATAAGTGATTTTTCAGTGTTTATGTGATTCATCTGCTTTCCATGCAGCTAAGTCACTAAGCCAATCCATCATTACCATTTTAGTATAAGATATGAAATACGTATTCGAAAGAAATTAATAAATCTACTAAAATTAGACATTGCTACCAAAATGGATGGGAAATTACTAATAAACTATGTACATGCAGCAATAAAGAAAATAAAATTTTAATTCGTTACACTAGCATCCATATGTTGCATTTAAAATTTAGACTGCAAAAATTAGATGTATAGATTTAAACTGGCAGCGAAGCGCAGGGTAACACCTAGTTTTCTTTTTTAAAAAAAAACATTAGTATAATTGCTTACTTGTAATATAATTATCATATGATCAGTATAAAAAAGGAAAGAAAGCTTAAAGTACTTTAAGTTTATCAAAAAGTGCAGAAATATCAAAAATCATAAGTTTTGTTTTGTATTAATGTTGTTAGTCAAAATTGTTTTTGCTAATGTCAAAATTTGTCTAAATTAAATTGTCTAAATGTCTAAATGTCTAAATTTATTTTTTAATAGTAATTTTTTAAAAAATGGGCTAAATTCAATTTACCTAAATGTCTAAATAATTTTGACTAACAACATTATTCTGTACCACGCAAGATATTGGAGAAATTCACAAATTGCCTATTACTAATGTAGTAGAGCCTCGGAAACATATAGTAATCGATTTGGCACAATATCAGATTATTAGTTATGACAGTCACCCTAAGTTTGTTTACGAGAATAAACGCATAAAATGCTTTATTGCTTTTATTCGTATAACAAATATAAGATATATAAGAAATAAATATTATAGGGCGGTTAAAAAGAATGATAATCACTGTATAAAATTCGATGTTTTCAATTTTCTCAAATTCAAGGTTAAACTTATGAAAGCATAAAAAAATCAAAATCCATTACATAAATATTCTTAAGATATAAAATTTCGAATTTTATATATCGTAATAAATATAATGATTACAGTATAAGGAATATAATAGTTATAAAAATTATGATGATTATAATTAGATTGCGATAATAGATTTTATCTCTTATAAATAAAATGCAAGATAAGGTGTATTTTTCCATGTCAACTAATTTATTTGTTCCAAAGATTCTCTACGAATGGCCGTAGCTAATTATTATTGTTAAAATATATAAAACTAACCAGGAATTATTGTCAACTTCCCACGATATTTGCCCGACATAGTGACTTCGCAATTTCGCGACACTACTTGAAATTGCATCCCAATAGAGAATTATAACCCAGCCACATTAAGAAAATGATTATAGCATCATTAATAAATATAAAAAAAAAAAACAATAAAAATAAATAAAGGCTTAAAAGAAAATACTTAACAGGTTAACCGCAAATCTCATAAATGCTGCAGTATCAATTGATAGAAAATTCTAATTTGTAACAAGACCAACTCTCGCCTCGATCTAAGCCTATCATATTAGGATGTAGAACTTTTAAATTGTGTTATTAGAGATTAATGAATCAGTCACGACTTTTACAATATACGGCACTTACTGTACATAGTATGCTCTAAAAATCTGATCACAATGTAAACTGCATATCTTTTTCAACCTTGATTGCTTAATCAAAAATTATACAGTGTAAAAGTACAGTTAATTGCTATTACATTAACTATAAGAATTACAAAAAAAAAGTGAGAGTAATACCTTAGATAGTTAAATAAGATAAGGATGGCCAGATACAAACACATCTGTAACAGATCCCACCTCCAGAATCTGCGAACCTTTATCAAAAAAGTAGGTAGATAGTTCATATCTAATTAGGCTAGAGATAGGTTTCATGCGTGCGCATGATTCCTCAATCTATTATCTCTAAATCTGTGTAATACTTATTATTCATCATGTAGTCCCAACGAGCCATCGCCAGTCAAGATCTGCTTTATCTATAGAAATTAACTAACCTTTGTTTTAAATTTCTTTAGATTTTTGATATATTTAGTCTAAAAATTCATTGTAAGCCCTGTTCTTGATTATATCGTAATAGAGAAAACAGTTACTTTAATGATTTATTTCATACATACATGTAATTAAAAAGTATATAAATGACTAAAATTTATCTGCAATTAAGTCAACTCGAATAGAATTCAAACCTTTAAAGGTCCAAATTAAGTTCTCATATTTATTAAGATTTTTCGTGGTATTTTGTTTCCTTATGTTCGACCTTGCATTGTATTTAATAAAGTAAAAAAATTAGAATTAGCAATTATGATCTGCATCAACATAAGTAAAGTATAGAAACATATAATTTCGTGACACTACCTGAAATTGTATCTCGATAGAATTATAAACCAGCCACATTAAGAAAAAGAAATATAGCATTATTATAAATATAAAAAATGAATAAAAATAAAATAATAGAGGCGTTAAAAGAAATACTTAACAGATTAACTGGAAATTTCGTAAATTCCACAGTACCGATTTCTTAAACAAGATCAATTCTCGCTTCGATCGAAGTCAATCATATTAGGGTATAAACTTTTTAGATAGTGTTATTATTAGAGATCAATGAATCAGTCACGCTTTTTACAACATACAGTACTTACTGTGCATAGTGTACTCTAAAAATCTGAACATTATATAAATAGCACTTCACTAGCAAATCATTTTCAATCTTGATCGCATAATAAAATAATGCTTCATAATAGTATACAGTGTAAAAGTACGGTTAATCGCCGTTATGTTAACCCTAATATTTCAAAAAAAATAAAAAATAAAAAAATAAGTAACGTCACAGATAGTTAAATCAGGTCAGAATAGCTAGATACAAACACATCCGTAACAGATCCCATCTCCAGAATCTGAACCTTTATCAAAGAAATTAGGTTGATGGTTCATATCTTTTAGGCTACTTAATGTAATCTGTGCCCCTCACCTCTCCGCAAGGTGGAAAGCGAAGAGCCTAGTAAAAAGCTACTACAGCTACTTACAGAGGTTTGCCCTGAACTCCAACTCTTTAATCTAAAAGAGGCAAAGTAGCCACCACACTGACCTATTCCTATTGGAGCGGATCAGACCAATGACGTTTAACCTAACTTTTTAGGACAGTACAATCTATGCGACAAGTAATATCACATTGGCTTTATTATTATTTCTGAAACCGTGTAATACTATTCATCACGTAGTTTGGGGATGTCCCAACGAGCCATCACTAGTCAAGACCCGCTTTATCCATAGAAATTAACTAACCTTTGATCTAAATTTTTTGATTTCAAAAAAGTTTGGTGCATTTAGTCTAAAAATTCGTCGTAAGCCTTGTTCTTGATTATACCATAGGAAAAATAGTTAATTTTAATGATTTATTTCATACATACGTGTAATTAAAAGATATATAAGCGACTAAAATTTACCTGTAATTAAGTCAACTCGAATAGAATTCAAAACTTCGAAAGATCCAAAGTAATTTCCCATAATCACAACTCGTTATTTGTATTTTGTTACGTATTTTATAAAATTAGAGTAAAAAGGTTGGAATTAGTAATCGTGATCCGAGTCAGTGTAAGTGTAAAGTATAAAACATAAAGTATAAAAATGTGCGATCTCATGACATAACTTGAAATTGGGATCCTATAGTAAATTATAACCTAGTCATATTAGAAGAGAGTATATATTTTATTAATTAATGTAAAAAAAAAATAAGAAATAGAGGCATTAAAAGAAAATACTTAACTAACAAACTAAGTGCTAATTCTATAAATACTGGTACCAATATAGCATTTTAATTCTCTGACAAAATCAATACGTGCCTCGATCTAAGCCTACTATATTAAAATATAGAATAACCTTCAGATAGTGTTGTTAGAAATTAGCAATTAGTTACACCTTTTATAATGCACATTACTAGCCGTAATTCATCAAGCAAAATACAGAAATTTGTTATGGTTCGTTCATATTTATCCCATGACTGTCTTAAAAAATACAATTTTTTTGTTATGTTTATAAGCATTGATTTCACGCTTAAAAAATCTATGTATTGTAGAACAGTATATGATTTTAGCCAGGATTATAAAAATAAAAGTAACTAATTTCTTCCACAATAAACTAAAGGTTTTATAACGTTACTAACCTTTACTTTTTAATATAACCAAATTTTCACGTTCTTACTTTGAGTTTTTTACTGATTTTTTATAATCTTCAATTTCTATTTCGGTAATAATTAATGCTTTAGATCATAAGTTGCTACTCTACTTCTTGATAATAATTGGGCGAATACTCTTCAACAGTCTTTTTTGGCACCTATTCCATCTTGATTTTAAAGTGTATATTTTATAATAATTTTTTTTTATCTCATCAGATTTTGCTGAATCTAGATCTTAATTCCTTTTTGTCTATATTTCGTTTCCGGGTCCTAAATTATTATCAATAATTAAATGTATTAATTTACCTTATTTAGCTTCCTAAGTCTCTCATTACTTGTTTCAGCTTCTAATCTATATCGATAATGTTTAAAGAGCAACATTATCTTCCTCATATTCCATGCTAGTTTAATTGACGGTCTCTTCTGATAGAATTGTCAACTGATTTCGCTTTGCTACTCTTCACAGTTAAAACATTCTATTTATTACTTAGCCATAATCTACTACGAGCTCTACTGAAATGTATCATTCTCCTGTTTTTTGAGTTCTTTTATCAACTAGGCAGAATATAAGTAACCAAAAAATAAGAACAAAAAAAAATAATAATTGATGAGACATGAAATACAGTCTACTCTGTATATAATGAACCTTCCTAAAATGAGCTCTGGATATAACAATCCAATTCCATAACATTTCGTTTTTCTTCTGGAATCTTCAGTTGATAGAAAGTGTTGAAAAAAGCCACGTAAAAATCAAAATCTGATTATATGATCTATGTTACATGAAAGCTGGTTGTTGATCAAAACACGATTATTGACCAATTAAACTTATTGATCCGGAGCGATCCTTAAATTTTATGAACGGTGATACAAAAATTACGTTTTTGATGCATTTGGCCAAAATGGTTACATCTTTATAAACATTATGAAGATCACGTCAAAAACATGATTTGGAAATTTTTGTCGGTCACGCCGCGTGTCTAAATTTGTACAAAAACATGCATGCTAACGCGTTTGTGTAATATTATAATCGTCATATGATGAACAGGGGGAACCGTCCAATGTTACACGAAGTTCATGTATTGTCACATGCTGTTCAGCCAATCAAATCGTA